TTAAAAATTTCGTTACGGAGAAAATTAAAATTAAAAAAAAAAAAAAAAACAAGAAAAAAAAAAAAAAGGTTTCACCAACCTTTGGCTTTGTCCTAATGTTTGTATGTCACAACACGAAGGGTTTAATCTGACCCGAACTCGGTCTGATCGATTTTCTATTTACGTATTTTGCCTACAACCACCTGTTAAAACAAAACGTATCAATAAATCGGCCAATTACAATTCCTAACGACAACACCATGCACACCACTATTGCTTCTAACAAGAACAAGAGGAAGAAAATCGAATCTGACACATATTTGAAAGAAAAAGGAGAAAAAACAAAAAAAAAACGAAAACTATTATTTTGTAAAAACCGATAAGAATTTCTTGAGATCGCCATTTATCTAATATCGCTTCCCGGAAGCAGAACACGAATCAAACACATTTAAGCCCTATCGTTGTCGAATGTTCATCAGTCAGATATACCTACGCATCATGCTTAAAAAAAAAAGGCTAATACCACTGATTAACAACTATTCTGTAAAATTGATTTGTTTGGGACTAATCACAGATCTTAAAGCAATTTTTTTTTTGTTATTATTACGGAAAGACTATTGCGATATTACAGAGGTTTGTGCTACATTACTTGGTCAAAATGTATAAAATACCATTGCAAATTTATTTCAATAAAATTGCCAAAAAATTGAACGTACTTTCTAGGCAAAATGTATGGAAAACATTCTATAATTAATGTGAATTTAAAAGAGTTAAACACGACTTCTTTTGAAAATTAAAATTAAGGTTTCTTACAGTCAACAGATAGAGTTATAAAAATTAATTAAGGATCACCCTAGCAAGTCTCAAACTATACAATATTTATTGTGGAAGTCACCACGGAAATATTGANTTGAGAGAATAGGATGTGGATGACGTGGGGAAAAGAGATAAGAATATAATAGGATAGAATAAGGAGAGGAATGCTTGAGGTTAGGGCATATAAGAGGGATGGGGACTACTCCCATTAGGGAGAAATTATTGAGAGAATAGAATGAGGATAAGGATGAGGTAAAGAAAATGAGATAAAAATATAACTTAAAGTTAGGACATAGGATGGGGACTGCTCTCATGCAATGATAGTGAGGGGCTTCTGTGGCAAGGCCAGACTGGGCTATTACGATAAAATACAAAAATAAATTATGATTAAACAGACTTTTGTGAGGACCCTAATGGTCATCAACCCCAACTGTTCAGGGTGTTATTTAACTCTAATACTGTTAATGGTAATAATACGTAGGCAAATATCATAAGTCGCAACTGTGTATAGGTATCATGTACCTACTTACAATCCTTTTATAGGCTTAACCAACAAGATGTGATTGTCAAGCAATACAAAATTTACGAGAATAATCTCGAAAATGACCGCCAAATAATGATCGAATTACAAAATGAAATAGAACAACTTAAAAAGAAAAACTCACCTTATGAGAACGTCTTGATTTCCTCTGCAACGACTCAAAATGTTGAAACTGCCACATACGAAGGAAGAAAACAATCTTCTTCAACAGCATGACTTCTTTCTGAGGGTTTAATCATACATAGGTACTTTACAATATAATAAAAATTCGTAATATGTAATCATTACAATAAATAGAGGAAGGCTTAATTAACTGCTGGCAACTTGTTGCTTTTTGGTTTCGAAAATGATTCGAAACAGGAATAGCAACATATGAAACTCACCCTTCGAATTTTTATCTGTTGGTAAATTCAAAGATGGTGGAGCCAACAACTTACACTACTTTACACTAACAATAATAAAAAAGTTTATACTTTAAGAAAGTTTCTTACTCTTGAACTTCGCGCAACTAATTGTTTATGAAAATAGTAATACCGACACGCACTATTGACGACACTGAAAGAGTAAGCTACTTTTATACATTTTGGAAAAATAATCCATGAAAATCAACACCAGAAAATGTACTTTAAGTGAAAATAACTTGGAACATCTAAACTTCACAACCGACTACAGTTGAAATGGACGAGTCCATTTGCTTCAATAGAAAGGTCGTTATCTACACATAGAACCCTATCCTTACACTTCCCTCTCGCAGATGGCAGCACTTGCACCAAATTTAGCGCGCAAAAGAAAATTTTAAATATATCACAGTTCTGTTTGATAAGTATACAACTATAACAGAATTAAACTTGAGACATCTAAACTTCACAACCGACTACAGTTGAAATGGACGAGTCCATTTGCTTCAATAGAAAGGTCGTTATCTACACATAGAAGCCTATCCTTACACTTCCCTCTCGCAGATGCCAGCACTTGCACCAAATTTAGCGCGCAAAAGAAAATTTTAAATATATCACAGTTCTGTTTGATAAGTATACAACTATAACAGAATTAAACTTGAGTTTTCTACAATACGTCATTGTATTTTATATCATTACGAATATGCTATGTATTTTTTATAATTAGTTGCTGAATAAAAGCATAATATAGGTTTTGTATCAACAAACTACGAAATTTATGTAAACTTTTTCATTTTTTAATTCTTAAATTATAATCCTAAACATATTGGTATGTCGCAAGTAATAAGCTTTTATTTTTAAAAATTGTTTTTGATATTCAATTTAACTGATAAGAAAATTCTTACGTAAATATGTAGCAATAAAATTTAAATCCTTAAAAACCAAATAAAACAATTAACATTCCAAACATATTTGTAATTAAACGTAAAGTAACCTTTAATGAAAATAATAAATCCAATCCTTTGAAGAAATAGTTTATGTTGCTTATTATATGTTTGATAATATTAAAAATTAAATTTTTATGTTATGGTAAGTAAAAATCGTTATAAT